ATTTCTCCCTATTTTTTCGCTAATTTCTCGCTAATTTAGTAGGATTTCTATATAAATTAGCGAACAACTAGCGAGAAATTTGCGAGAAATTAGGGAGAAATTAGCGAGTCCTTTCGAAAGCAGCCACCGTTGCATCTCCTTCCCCCGCCCATCCCCATGTCCTGACGTTTGAGGGCTAGTTCGGGATCAGCGCTAGACAGAAGGATGTCCGCCCAGTCCAACGGTGGTTCTTCTTGAAGCTTCGTCATCTCAAATCACCCGCAAATTGCTCGCTAATTGCTTGCTATTTGCTTGCTAATTGCTTGCCATTTGCTTGCTACTTGCTTGCTAATTTCTCGCATAGTTGGCCACAGCTCTCCCTAAGTTCTCTCTAAATTCTCCCAAACATTCTCCCAAAGATTTCCCTAATTAATTATTTTGCAGTTTCCAGTATCTACGGTCCAGAGATGGTCACAAATCTACACTTTCACAGGATCTGTCAATGGGGCTGAACTTCAACATTTTGGACGACATGTATCAGCCAAACTCCCAGGCTCTGTCTCCAGTTTTGCACTGCACAGGGTTTGAGCTGCTGCACCAAGGACAGGCTCCCTACCTGCCGGGCAATTCTCGGTGTTCTTGACTGAGGACCGGCGAGCTATCGATCTCTGTTTTGTTTTGTAGAGGCTTTGCGAAGTTCTGCTCCTCGATTGAAAGGATGGCTCCAGCGAGATTACCTTCGGTGGCTACAGGCGAGCCAGCTGCATATGTGTGCGGGCCACTTGTTGTTTCTTGTTGGAGCTCTGCTTCTTCCCATTGTGATGAGAGTCTTTCTGCCGCTCTGGTGGGGAATTTGAGTGGAGCGTGCAACAGGCATGAACGGGCTTTGGCGGACGGACGGAAAGGGTCGAAGGGTCGATAGTTTCCGCATTCCTGGTTGGGACTGGGTTCGGCAGAGGGGAACCGGCATGAACCGACTCGACCTTGCTGATGCTGGACTCGGGTCAGGGTTTGCCAGGCCCGAGCAGTTGGCCTCAGAGGTGGTTTGGGCGCCAGTGACGCACGAGTCCTACTGGCAGGCAGCGTTCCCCAGTTTTCGCGAAGACTTCAGACTTTATGGCTCTATGGCGAGTCAGATTTGAGTTTATGTCGTTGTGGTGCAGATGAAGAGAAACCGTAATCGGCAATCAGCAACCTGTATGGCTTTTGAAATATTCCGTCCAAGAAGAAAGCTATTGCCAGCAATGATGTGAGCTTAGGGAATGTCGCTTCGAGATGCTGGGCAGACACGTGTCTTCCCGAATTTGTGAAGGAGTGGATGCAAAGTAGCTGCAACTGGAGTGCGAAAGCTACTGGGGCAACATTGATGGTAAGATTTTGGAATGGGAAGAACTGGTAATGGTTCCAGGGAGCAGCATGCACATGCCGATGATGCCGCAGCACGAGAGTTCTGCATGTGCTGAGAGGTGGCGGTTCAGGACATCACATTCGACAACACCGACACTGGTCTTTGTGGCATCATGGGGTGCCAGGTGCGGTCGATCCGACATTGTTGCTTCTGGTGTGTAGAGCTTGGTGTGGCAGTGCCGTCGTTCCATAGCTTCGCGCCGCCAAGCCTTTCGACATCAGGTGGCCGTGGACACCGGCACCTCGATGTTGGCTGGTCCGCCGGCATTGGTCAACAGCCTGCAGGAGAAGTGGCTGGGCCCGGGTCCTTTTACTGCCTTCGTCTTCGTGTACCTTCAATACCGACTCGCACGTTGCCTTCCGCAGGAGAGGGTCTCTGCCCGCGCTGGTGGCCAAGAGTTAGCTCTGCAAGACTCGGTTCTGCATCACGATGTTGCCAGTGGTGCCTTCATAGACTAAGGCGGACTGTTCCAATTACGACAGTTTGCCAAACATCGGCTTCAAGGTTGGCAACAAGGCCGGCTAGGGACTTTACTTCGCAGAGAGTTTGCATCTTTTGAGCCTTGCTCGGCATGCAAGATGTCTCTGCCTGCGACAGATCCTCAACTTGAAGCCGGAAGACTACATGGACGGGCCGGGGTTGTCAGTTATCAGCTTCGGGGTTCGGCTATGCTTCCTGGTGGTGGTCGTGGTGGGATGGACTCTCCCAAAACAGCATGCCAGACAGATGCAGCTCCCCATGATTGTCGTTTCTTGTCGGCTCAAGACAAGCCGTTTCTTGTGAGCTTCAAAAATGGCTTTCGGTTCGCAGACGTTCTGGCTTGCTTTTTGGGTGGCCCCAACACCACAAGAATTGGCAAGGCGAATGTGGCTTGGTGTAGACATCTGCACAAATGGCACAAATCCAAAACATGCTATTGTCATGGCAAGCTGCCCGATCACATGCATGATTATAAGAAAAGCGATGGTTGCGCTTGAACGGATAGGTAGAAGGAATGGCAAGTTTGCACTCATGTCGCAGAACCAAACCATGCTATGGCAAACCGTCCGATCCGATCACATGCATAACTAGAAGAGAACCGGCGTGCCGAAGGTGGCCTGGTAAGGACATGTATGGCGCAGTGTCACCCGAGCCCCACCCTCCCCCCCCCCCACCCCATGGTATCCCCCCCCTACCCCCCCTGTGGTGTGGTGTGGTGTGCTGGTGGGTTATGGTGGGTTGTGGGTTTCAGTAACCTAACCCCCCCTCGTCCCCTTGTGGTGTGGTGGTGGGTTTTGGGTTGTTCAACCACCCCTCCCCCCTGTGGTGTAGTGTGGTGTGGTGGTGGGTTGTGGGTTTCAGGTTTAGTGTTTGCCCCCCTTCCCCGCTCCCTGTGGTGTGGTGGTGGGTGTTGGGTTTAGGGTTTACGGTTTACACCCGCAGCCCCCCCCGGTGGTGTAGGTGGTGGGGTTGTTTAGGGTTTAGGTGTTTAGAAAAGAAGGGGTTTAGGGTTGAGGGTCAGCAGCTGAGTTGCATAGCTTCAAAAGTCAGAACACACGAGGATCTCGTGTTCGGGGGCCCATCCTTGTGACTGTTGGCACTTTTGAGACAAAAGTGACGGCCCTCACGAGGATTTGGGTGTATACCATTGGGGGGGGGGCGGGGGCATACCATGGGGGGGGGTTGTACCGACACGGGACATGGGACCATCTACACCGATGGCTGGACTTACTGGACAAGCAGAAGGAATGGCAAGTTTGCGCAACTGTCGCAGATCCAAACCAGGTAACCATTATACTGTCATGGCAAAACGTCCCACCACATGCGCAGCTGCAAGATCAGCCGCCGTGACATCATCCGTTAATCAGGCATGGTTGCAGGCTCTCCTGTATGGTTTTCTGGGTTTGTTCCGATTGGTTCGCATATTAGTTGTGCAGTACCAAACGGGGAGGACAACGGGTAAACATAAGGCATGTAAAGGATTCCGGTTTTGTCGAAGACTGACATGTCCTCCTTAGACCAGGCTCCATCCAAAGGGGGACACAAGTTTAAAAGATTTCTGTGTAACTTCTCCGGCGAGACCTCAGGATGTTTCAATCGACGGGATGCCGAGCTCGTGAGGGTTCGGCTTGTGTTGGTCCATGATTTGACTTCACTCCCGCAGGTCAGAATTTTCGACTGGTTGCCACACCCAGCAGGCAGAAACACTGACTACCGACTACATCTTTACTGCTACTTGCACCGTGGTAGTTACCTTCTTGGCAAAGTGCCTTCTGATGACCAGTGCCCAAATCTGCCAAAGCTCCATCAACAGCCCACCTTCGCTCTGTGGTTCAGCCTTCGGCTTGACTCTCCGTTCATGTCGCCATGGGCGCTGCGCAGGCCTGCTGCCAAGGTGGGTCGCAGAGGCTGGTCTTGCAGAGCACGTCCCTCCTGTACCTCGACAGGGATGTTGAGAGCGATCGGGGATCTGCGAAAGCTAGAAGCAGAGACAGCAGCACACCTCGGATTGTCTCCGGAAAGCTGCGTGGAGTGCCTATTCTGAGAGTACCTTCTTCAGCCTACCCTTGGACCGCCAGCAGCATCGAGAGGAGCGAGGTGGATGAGTTCAAGCACATGCTGGGTAGTCATGGCATAGACACGACTTGCTGGGGCAGCCAGGGCGCGAAGGCTGTCGAACAGTTGTTCTGGGAGATATTTTACCAGCATGGTAGTATACTGACTGGAATTGGGACGGGGAAGCTAAAGCGAGTCACGCGAATCTTAAAGTTGCGCATTCTTGCAGAGATCAATGGCATTGACCATGTGATGGTGTCGCGACTGCAGTTCATGCACGATGGCCAGCAGATCCAGCGCCAGCAGCTTCCTCTGGGAAGGTTGTGCTGGAAGATGCCTTCCGACAACGCCCTGCTGCAATCCTGTAAAATCAACCTTTGTGATGAGAACAACGAGTATGCAGAATCGTGGAGAAGCTGCTGGCCATCTGTCCTGGAAGCTAGACTCGGGATCTGCTCGTCAGCTTTTCAGCATCAGCTGGATGAGGTCACCAGCGCGTGCCCGGTGGCCCGAAACTCTTAGGAAGGTTTGGGGACGTGAAGTGTGCATCTATGACATAAGTCTGCAGAGGGGTTGCATCCGGAGCGTTTGTCACCTCACGGCTGTCCTTTCCTGTCAATGTTTGATAATGTTTGAGTCCTGCCACGAAACTTTCCAAGCACAACGATGTTCCCTGAGAAGAAGCTGCATATTCTTGCTTTTACAGCAGTCTGGGCCCAACGTGCTCGCTGTCTGCTAGCTTGTATTGGAAGGTACAGCTATCACACCGAAGACAATGTCCACAGCGAGGGCTATCCTGGATTGAAGGCGCTGTATTGCGTGCATCAGGCGTCCCAGAGCATTCCAAGGATGTTTCCAAACGCAGTCGTTTGGAAAGAATTGGATGGTCGCCATGCAGGTCACATTTCGGGTGACGAACCCGGCTCACTCCAAGGCCACCGGATCAGTTCAGCTGTGACACTGCACTGCGGGGGAGCCAACCTATGTTCTAGCATAGCAGTGTTATAGATTCTAGAGTTCACACGTCAATCTTGGTCTTTGGCGTCTTTGGCGAGGTGGCGTGCATTGGCCTCCCGCTTGGACAGGACACCTCGGGGATGGAGTCGAGCAATGGTGCGGAGGCCCACCGTCGTCATAACGCTTTGTGGAGGACTTTGCCACGGCCAACGACAACTTCTGTCTGGAGAGGCCACTCGACTTGGGATACCATTGGGACACTCACCATGCAAGACACTTCCTGTAGTCGATCTGCCAGTATCGTGCTTTCTCCGACCGATCGAAGTCTATTAATTTTCGACGCAGGTTCCACAGCAAGGATGCTCTGCCCATAGGCCGCCCAAATTGCACGCCATGACTTGTTACTGAATTTCTCTGAGGGTCTCGAGTATACAGTTGCAAGTGCCAGTATTACGATCAGTGATCGCTTTTAAGATCGTGATGGGTATTGCATCGAGTGTATTTCTCACCCGGCTTTGCAGGCTCCCAGCTCAACGTTTGGTCCTGGGCACCTCTTAGCGAGTTTAACAAGGCCACGTGCTGCAAGGTGCTACAGATGTGTAGCTTCCGATGCTATGCTCCGTTCTTCCCGCATCAGGTATATGTGAAGCCGAGGCCTTCTGCATGTGCAGAGTGGGTAGCCTGGATGGGGCCAGTCTGCAGATCTGCACCTGCAACCCAACCTCCTCCCCATCCCTGCAAGTCTCAATGCTGGCTCCAATTAATCTCGTCTGAACCGGGGGCTTCCTAAGCTGCATGCCTGCGCAGCTTCTCGGAAACTACGAAGACAGAGAAGAGTCCTGGCCGTGGCCCTGGTATGTGTGCTTCTTGCAAACACAGGGACATTCTGGATCTCGTCAAGGGTCGTCATAATGAGTGGGCGGCTGTGAGCCAAGACTGCGAGGAAGCACAGGATTCTACCGGTGTGAGTCCTGTCCTGTCTGACATGCGGCTTACCTGTGCGAGTGGTGCGTGTCTCTGGGCATGATTGCAAAAGCTTGGAAATACTGCCCATTGGGCACTACAACCTCCGTTGATCGCCTCGAGTCCCCTCTCTCATCCTGCCCCGCATTGCTCATGGGATGCATCCGTTTCGCATCGTACTGTCCCATGTCAAGTTTTCTAGTCGAATCTGGCCCTGCCTTATACACAGGTCGAGAAGAACCAGTTCCCCAGTGCGTTGCTGGCTGCCCAGTTCGTGCGGGTCGATGAAATTGATGGGGAGAAACCTCACGAACCGCACAGAAACCCTTTGCCTTGACTCATGTTGAGTTGGTGTTGGAAGTTGGAATCGTTACTTCAGTACTCACGACTGCTCTTGATAATTGCAGATTAACAGTCAGCCGGAGCGTCTTGTATGAGTTCTGCTGAGGAAGATGAGCTGATGATGCGAAAGCGCGTTCCCATTTCGGCCTCCATGTCCAAACTCGCATCTATGGACAATGTCGCTCACGTCGTGGCCCCAGTCGCGGTACCGAAGTGGCTAGGCACCATTCACAGATGGGCAACCGTCCGCGAGTCGGAAAGTGTCACCAGCTGTGGTCATTCTAAATTGAGGCAGCTTCGGGCAAGACCCCCAAGCACGGGTCCTCAGGGGAGTGGAACGGAGTGACGAGCTCTTGAGCTCAAATCTAGGATGGAAGTTCAGGAATTAATCTCGATCAGGGAGTTCGTAGAACTCATCGAATGTTTCATGTAGTAAGAGCCCCATGGTGGGTGTCTCTGCAGCAACGAGGAAGACCGCTCCGAATGCCAAGCTGCGCCGTGTTCTGTCGAGCAAGCGCCCGGTTCTCAGTTGTCCGGTCCCTCGGTGATGTGACTTGCGGGGCAAGTGAGCAGGCCTGGCCTTGAAGGCAGCGTGGCCGATGTCCCCCCGCAGTCAGACGGTTACTAAGGAACCGACTGGCGCACCGTCAGGAGACTCAAC